TTGCCGCTCTTTTGGTTTTTTCTTAATTACGTGTTTTGCTAACTTGACGTCAAGATAGCGAGACAACATCACTAAATATGTCAGCAGCAGTGTTGCCACAGGCTCTTAAAATTTCGTGCCAGACTATGAACTCAAAAGGGGCCAGATTTCAGATTTTCGGGCAAACCGTTTTCAAATTAAAAAGAAGAGAGAAAGCTCGCCGCAGGCAGAATTTTTTTCGGGTGCCACGCCCAAAAACGTTTATTTTGCATCAAAAAATAATGATTTGGCTTGTTATGGAGAAACGGGCCAGATTCGAAAAAGAGTGGCCAACGGGCCACTATGTCTTAGAAAGGGCCAGATCTGGCCATATGGGGCCACCTGTGGCAACACTGGTCAGCAGTAAAAAATTAGGTAGATGAAAATTTGCCGTTTTTTTGCCGCTAATTAGTTGTGTAAACCAAAAATTTGCCGGTTCTTTTTTTTCCATAAATTATCAAGTTTGAAAAAAAAAAAATAATTTGTTTCGCTAACTTGACGTCAAGTTAGCGAGACATTGGATGGTATGAATAAAAATGAGCATTTAGTTTCTACTCCAAATTTTGGAGTAAATACTCCACGTGGTATGAATAAAAACTAAGAGCAGATATTTCGCTTGAGTAGGTACTCCTATGTATAATTTGGTATGAGTAGATAGGTCATTGGTAGATCGTCACTTTTGGTATGAATAAAAGATTGTTTATGCTCTTCGGTAGGAGAATCTACTTCATAGTTTTAGAGTCTGCTATGCAATAGACTCAACTTTCTGCTTCAAGTTATTTCAGTACCGATTTTCCCTCGGTAGAAGGCAGAGCTATGGCAGAGTTCTTCAATCTTAACCTGCGTTCGGAAAAATTTTACAAAGCTAGAAAAAATACGTGTGATCGGGACTTTAAAACGTTGTACCGGTTTAGTAAAGAAAATGTGGAGTGGTTATCAAATCAATTTTTGGGTGAAGAGTCTAGAGAAAGACGAGGTGGTGCTTTATGCAACAAAGACAAATTTAAAATATTTTTAAGATACGTGGGTGACCCGGGGTTTCAGGCAGGAGTAGGCGAGGATGTTGGTGTTCACCAAACTTCGGTGTATCGGAAGTAGCTAAGATAATTCAGCAAAGTGAACGGTGGATCATATTTCAGATAAGTTTGAAAAATAAAATGTTGAGTATCTACTCTATGTAATAGGAGTATGTACTTATCAAACCAAAATCTTTTTTATTCTTACGAAATGAAGTATAAGCTCAGACTTCATACTCATGCTCACGAGTATATACTCCGAGTGTAAACTCAGTTTTTATTCATACCACCCATTATCACTAAAAATGTCGGTAGTGAAAAATTGAATGAATGGAAATTTGCCGTTTTTTTGCCGCTAATTAGTTGTGAAAACCAAAAATTTGTCGCTTCTTTTTTTTACAAAAAATCAAGTTTGAAAAAAAAATCATGTGTTTCGCTAACTTGACGTCAAGTTAGCGACATAGGTAAAGAACGAGATTTAGAACAGTGACAAATTAAAAGAGCGACATTTACAGCGACGACCTCTAAGCAAAAGAGGGAAACATCAAATTGTTCCAATATCAAAATTATGTAGACTTACTCAAACTAACCCAAACTAACCCGTCCGTCTAGGGCAATCTCGTCCTCGTGAGTTAGCATATTATTTAAAAAGCACTGCGCTCTCAAGAGACCCTGAGCAATAATCAGTGAATTAACTTTGTTTTTTTAAATAAAATGCTTACGAGGACTAGATCAGTCAATTTATTTATAGCGTAGGGTCCCTTGACCGCGCCTTGTTTTCCAAATAAAATTCTATTTAACGAAGACTAGATCGCACTAGGCGAACGGGTTAGTATGGGTTAGTTTCAGTAAGGCTGCATTTTTCTGAATATTATTGATACAATTTGATGTGTCCCTCTTTTGCTTACAGTCCTCGTAGATAGTTAGATACCTCGCATTGTTGTCCAATCGTGCTTTACTCCAGTCGCGTTTTTGTTCCGTCGCGCTTTTCTCCCTCGCGCAAACGACTGTCGCGCAAATGACACAGAGCCTTTATGGTTCGAATACTTATGACAAATGAATGAAATTTTCTACCGACATTTTTATTGATACTGTTTACTGTTTTGCTAACTTGATGTCAAGTTAGCGAAATACATGATATTTTTTTCAAACGCGATATTTTCTTGTAGAAAAAGAGATAATTAGCGGCAAATTTCCACTCACTCAATTTATCACTACTGACATTTTTAGTGATCTCGCTAACTTTACGTTAAATTAGCAAAACACTATTTCATTTTCGAACACGATATTCTTATGAAAAGAAAGGTAGCGGCAAATTTTTAGTTTTCACATCTAATTAGCGGCAAAAAAACGGCAAATTTCCATTCACTCAACTCATCACTACCGACATTTTTAGTGATATTGTCTCGCTAACTTGACGTCAAGTTAGCGAAACAAATTAATGATTTTTTTTTTTCAAACTTTATTTTTTATGAAAAAAAAAATAACCGGCAAATTTTTGATTTTCACAACCACAACTAATTAGCGGCAAAAAAACGGCAAATTTTCACGTACCTAGTTTTTTAGTGCTGACATATTTAGTGATGTTGTCTCGCTATCTTGACGTCAAGTTAGCAAAACACGTAATTAAGAAAAAACCAAAAGAGCGGCAAATTTTTTAATTCCTTATTTAATTAGCGGCAAAAAAGCGGCAAATTCTTGGCATAATGGAAAATCGATTTTTCGAAGTTGTCTCGCTAAGTTGATAAACATTAATTTTGGCCAATCAGCGTCCAAAATCTCAGATCACGCACTCGAAAAAGTCTATAGACTTTATGAACGGACTTTAGACAAATAAAGAAATAAATACGGAAACTTTGAAAGCTCAAAATTTAGATACGGGTTTTTTTTTTCTCCAACTCAGCATTATTTCTGTTAAGATCTCAGGAATAATCCCGACTTCAGACTGATCTCAGGAATAATCCTGATTTATTTTTCAAATCGGGATTAATCCCGACTTAGAAGCACTATGTCAGGATTAATCCTGAGATAATTTTTAAGTTAGGATTATTCCTGACTTATGAGTTTTATGTCGGGATTCCGAGATACTTAATTTGTAAGTCGAGATTATTGCCGAGACAAAGCACTATCTCAGGATTAATCCCGACTCATAAAATATTGTCAACTGGTCTATAAATAAAACCCTCGATAAAACCACTCTGTATATCAAAAAGCCATTAAAACTAGAACATGATTCATCGACAATCAGGAGTTTAAGCAGGTCAACGCGTAAACTAATGTTCACACCTCGGTTCACACGAAATGGATATAAAAACCTATGCAGCCCATGGTATCGGTACCCATTTGGGTTTTTCGCTCCTCAGGGTCTCCTTACCCAGAAGAGCAGTAGTTACACTTCTTTTCAGGGTCGCCTTAACCCAGAGAGTTTTGCCCTTACTACTATACGTGAGGGAACCAGTGTTATCCCCATATATGTACCATCGTCACCAAAAGTAACTGGGACAGCATCACATTACCTCTCGTCCTATTAGATGAATTTTATTGTCAAATTTTTGTCAAACTATGCATTAAATGCATTGAAATGAATGACAGTAGAATTAGTCCAGGAGATTATTATGCATTATTTGTGTCCATACTTTTGGTGACGATGGTACGTAGAGCCCCGAACGTGAGAATAATGTGGCACACCTATGTAGTGCCCCTTTGGTGATGTACCCACTAGCAGACAATACACGTTAAGCTCCCTTTTTGTAGTTGTGTGTTTTCCTGGAGAGCAACCCTTAACCTGAGGTCCTACCCACCACATTTGTCAGGTTATCTCATGAATTCATCTCGCTTTGTGAGTTTGTAGATGTGATTATGTACCTAGTGAAAGATCATAGAACATATGTTATATCATCGTTACCAAAAGTATCTGGAACAAATATAATTAATGATAATCTCCTGCACTAATCCTACCATCATTCATTTAATTCATAGTTTGACAAATATTTGAGACTAAAAATCATAAGTAATTATGATAATACAAGTGCTAATATGATGCTCTCCCACTTACTTTAGGTGACGATGGTACATAAGAAATAACGATTATAAAATGACCAAAATGTCTGAGTTTACGAAGTTGAATCTTGATTGCCTTTAGCTTCCGTAGGTTAATAGTATAGGTCAGGATCATTCCTGAGATAAATTAGTGAGTCGGGATTAATCCTGAAATTATGCTTTGATTAATTCCAACTTAAAAAATAAGTCTGGATTATTCCTGTGGTAAATCTGTTGTAAGTATTCCTCAGATCATCACAGGAATACTTAATCCTGAGTTGTAAAAAAAAAACTTGTACCTAAATTTTGAGCCTTCAAAGCTTCTGTAAATAAACACAAAGTATTTTGTTTATACTCCAAGTTGTTGAATTTTCTCTATCTAGGAAACGAAAATTTAAGAGCCAAAGGGGCGAAAATTGAAACGGGAAAATTGAAAAATAGAGGGAAGAAATTTAAGAAAAATTGAGAAAAAAATTGGTAGATGTAGATAAGTGGAATTTCTATTTCTTCTATCCCAGGCTCTTGAATTTTCTTTATTTCAACAAATTCAAGAGCCAGGAATAGACAAAAGTTGAACAGGAAAAATTGAGAAAATATGACATTTTGGACATTCAATTTTTGATTCTGACAAGGGTTCTAAAAATTTAACTGAAACTCCATTACTTTTGTATTTATACCTTTCTTCTGCCTATAAAAGTATAAAGTGTCAATATATGGGAAACATCCTCATCATAGTCCACCTCAGATCTGTAGCTATAAAATCAAGTGTTAAATTTAAATATCCAAAAAATTTGATTACTTATTGAAGAAATTTGAAAAACTCTAAAAATTTCAGTTGTTTTGTAACATTGAGCCTGCGATTCTATTATTTTTTGTTGTCACTACTTCTTTCTCATTCATAAAATCATCATTATTATTATTTTACAGGCTTATTCTGTAAAACATGCCACTCCTCAAGAGTCCTAGAACTGACAGACCGATTTCCGGAAATCCGTAAAGACGGTGGTCTATGGTTGGTGAAATTTTATGCCCCCTGGTGTGGCCACTGTAAAAAATTGGAACCGTTATGGATGCACGTCGCTCAAGCCTTAAGTAAAACCAACATTAGAGTTGGTAAATTGGACGTTACTCGATTTCCAAATGTAGCTAACGAATTCAAAGCTTATGCTACACCAATAATCAAATTGTAAGTTAAGTATTCATGAATTATAATATAAAGGTATATTACTAAAATGTGACTTTTAAAGCATCAAACCTCAAGCAGAGCATATGTATACTGGTGAACGTACTAAAGAAGCCATTGTTGATTATGCCTTTAGAATGGCTGGCCCTCCAGTTCAGGAAATAAAGGAACTTCAAAGCGTAAAAAAATTGAAAAATGATAATAAAGTTTTCTTTATTTATGTGGGGCATCAAAAAGGTGCGGTTTTCAAAAGATTTGTACATTATTTCAAAGTTAATTTTTAGGCCATTTATGGGATATATATTTCACGATAGCAATGAACTTACAACCACATGCGTTTTTCTATTCAATTAATAAAGAGTCTTATCCAGAAGATTTTGTCAATTCAACAGAGCCTGCACTTTATGTGCATAAAGAAGGCATTTTTTATTCCTACCAAGGCAGGTAAAAGTTTCAATAATCTTATCTGAATATTTTGGGAAAAAAATTATGGACTTTTTATGCCCTATTTAGATAATTTTGAAAAACATACTGATTTGGATCACTTGAACACGACAATATTCAAATGGGTCAATGAAGAACGTTTTGAAACGTTTCCTAGGATAACAAATGAGAATTTAAAAGAGGTTTTAAAGTCTGGAAAATATGTTGTGCTGGCTATTGTTGAAGAAGACAAAATCAAACGTATTCCTACTGATATGATCGAGTTTAGGGGTAAAGTTGAGACACTGATTCGGTAAGTATAATTATTATAATTATATCTTATGTGTGAAACAATAAAGTTTTGCTTTTTTTCGCAGCAAAAAACGTCACATCTACCACCCACACTTCCAATTTGGCTGGATGGGAAATGCAGATTTGGTCAATAGTTTATTGATGCAAAGAATTCCATTGCCTTATCTTTTAGTGATAAATTCCTCAACGTTTCATCATCATGTTCCCGAAGACGATCCAGCTGAAATGAGCATTGAATCAATTGAGATTTTTTTGGAAAAGATACTCAATAAAACATCACCAGTAAATATATGAATATTATCAAAAAATAATATAAAATTTCAAATTATTTTAGATGTATGGTGGAGATAGTGTTCACATAAATGTCGCCAGGAAATTTTTCGATTTTAAACGTGGCCTCGAGGACATGTGGAAAGGAAATCCTATTTTGCTGTTAGTCATATTCACTTTACCATCCTTATTTTTTATATTGATAATGTGGGCCTGTTGTTGTTCTGATATAATGGATGCTGATGATAATGATAACGAAGATGATGGTAAATTTTGCACAGCCTTAAAAAAAAATTACTGATTAAAAATATGTGTTCTAGGGACGTATCATGAGAAGAAAGAATAGAAACAGCTCCAAAAAATATTTATTTTAGATATACGGGTATCTTTTAAGTTTTTAGTCATTAAATTCTATGTTCCTTTGTTGTTTTTTTAAGTGTTTGTGTTATAGATGCATAAGTATTTGCTAAAAATTAATAAAAATAGAAAAATATCAAAGTTGTAATTATTTTTATTAACAGTTTGATGAAGAAACTGACACTCAGCTTTGTGAAATAGGAAAATACTTAATTCCTAAATCTAATCTAATTCAATAAAATTCAATAACCATTGATTGGTTTGTTCCAACTTCTCTGAAAACTTATTATGTAAGCTCATTTGTATCTTTACAACAATCCTTTTTCTCTTCTGCCTTCTTCAACTTAATTTCTTCAAATTTCAACTTGTATTCACTCAAAGCACTCTCAAATTCATCTGATCGACAAAGTTTTACGCTAGCCTCTAACTCATCAATACCCTGTTTAAAGAAACCCAAATTGAAGAGTCCTATACCTCTACGACCAATACAAAGTGCCCTTTCTTGAAGATTCACTGGCAAAGCTGGCCTTAAAAGCTTCAAGGCTTCTGAGCAATCGTCTGTAACTCGGCTAAAATTTCCTATAAACAATAAATTTAAAAAAAAAATTCTTCAATTGCTTACATATTTACCAATTGCCAAATGGGCTTCGGATCTTACAATATACAAATCCACAAATTCGGGGCTTAACTTTATACCAAAACTAAACGCGCTAATTGCTCCCAAATAATTCTTGTTTTTCAAAAACTCTCTGCCTTTGGCTAGCAAATATTGCGGGTTTTTCTCTTCGGGTCTTAAATCTTCACTTACGAAACCAGCAGATCTTCTTGCGGCCGCTTGTCTGGCCAAATACACATTTTCTTCTTCTAATTTTGATTCTCTGGAAGGCGTAGGAAATTCTCTGGGAGTAAAAAGGATTTGTAGGGCTTTAGTGCTACGTGGTTTTGGTATTTCGTGCTTGGGTTTTGGCTTTGCAACAATTTTCTTATTGTTGTTAGATATTTTAATAATCTTTGATGTTTCTGATTTACGACGTGATTCAATTGTATTGTTCCATTTATTAATATCTCCAATAGCTTTTTTCTCTTCAAACTTTTTAACATTTTCTATTTGAGATCTAGTTTTTGTGTCCAATTGGATTTGTTCATTAATAGCAACTCTGAAATAATTACAAAGTAATTATGATTACTTGGTTGAGGCTTTGTTATTACCTTTTTAATTCCGCTTTTTTTATTATTTTGTCTTCAAATTGTTTCTTGATTCTTTCATGTTCCTCTTCGAGAAGCTTCTTTTTTAAAGTGTTTTTTTCAACCTTTGTCAAATTTCCATCTTCTAAAGAATCCCAAAACTCGTCGGTCAACTTCTTCAATTCAAATACAATAAACTGAGGAGTTTTGGTGCAAATACTTTGCGCAATATCCACAGCATTGAGTAAGATCACTTCGAAAAAATACGATTCGAATGTTGCTTTGATATATTGGGGTGAGATAAATATGTCGACTCTATTGAGAGGTACTCCATGTAGTGGTACTTGGATGGTGATTTTTTCTTTTAACTGTTTCCAGGTAAAATCTTTCAGAATTATGGGCATGGTTTTTAGTAGTTTTTCTAAATCTGTTGTGAAGTTTGATTGATCGATAGACAATGAATTTATTGATTGTTGCCTAGGTGATGGGTATGAAGGTGTTGGGACATAGAACTGCTACATTCACAGGGAATCCGACGAGCAGCCGACCACCGATAAATTGTTGGAAGACAAATTATTAGGAGACATAGCCACCCAGTTTACTCTAGGATTATTGATGCCGATTAAACAGCGAGTATTCTCAGGAAATCCAGCAACTTTGGATGAAATAGCTGAGAGGGAGGAATCAATCGAACATTTTCTGAAGCCAAACAATCGAGAATGCCATGGAGTGAGGAACCAGACCAATAAAGCAAGAGCCAAAGACAGAGCCGCTGGAATCAAAGAATGCAGAAAAATAGAAAAATGGTGTACTACAATTGCAACCAGGAAGGCCACGTGAGATCAAATTGTCCGAACCTAAGGGACGTAAAAAGACAAGGTAACAGAGGTACCTACCTACGCTTGTTTGTTTCAGATGTAACAAGCAAGGGCATTTTGCTAAAAATTGCCGCACGGAAGTCAGCGCTTTTACCCAGCAATCGGGAAATAGGCAGACTTTAAACTCAAAACGCAGCCACCTTTCAACCCCGAGACTTGGCTGCCAACGAGGCAAGTTTGGATTAAATGAAGAGAGGTGAGTAGGGATATATACATGCTCCAAGGAGAGAACTCCAGAAAGTTGTAATGTAATCAGGATTAGGGTTAATGATAAAGTCGTATCTAGCCCTGGTAGATTCTGGAGCTGTAGTATCCCAGTTAAGCCTGAGATTGCCATGCGAGTTCAAGAAAGAGAAATGTGTGTTCGACGGAGACATCGTTGTGAGACACAATTTTATTGTGGTTAATACAGATTCCTTAAAGGCAGATTTACTATTGGGAATAGATTTTCTGCGTCAATATGGTATTAAAGTAGATTGGCAGAATAATTGTATGTACGGTTTTGAGACGGAAATTCCAATGTATAATGAAAATATTGATGCTGATTATGCGATACAGAGCTGATGACCAAAATTAGGAACTTGGAAATGGTTGAGGAGCTGAAAAATTTGGAGAGGAATGGAAATAGTGTTGAAATGGAAGATATAATGTAGGAAAAGAAGTGACGATGACATTTTCGTCATTTTCAAAAGGAAAGTATCCGACGTCACTGCATATGATGAAGGATCATGGTCTAACAGCGATATGAAGTGGCTGTGAAACCAAAGCCAACTTACAGCTTGAAGAAACCCAAGAGAAAGTTATGACGTCATCGAGAAAACCGGCCGGTTCCAGTGACATCCATATAGCCATTCCACTTCGACAGATTGAAGTTATTAGTGGTCCAGTGAAGGACCAGATACTGTTGAATGAAGGTTTTCTGGCGTCTCTGGGAGAGAAGGTTATTATACCGCCGATGATTGATGAAGTGTGCCATGGAACCCTACGCGGAACTTCAAGGGCTAAAGGCTCAACACATTAAACAATGTGATGAAGTTTTGACAGGCTTGCCAGTAGCACCAGTTTTGGAGAGGAAGGACAGTGAACTTCCAGGGAAATTCCGAAGGAATGTCCATTAGAAAGAAATTCTAATAAAGGTCCGGTGAAGGACATAGAATTCAGAAACCAAGATGGTTTTCTGGTGACTCTGAGAGAGGAGGTGATAATTACCGCCGATGAGTCAAGTAGTGTGTCAAGCATCCCTACGCAGAGCTTCAAGGGTTAAGGCTCAGTTATTTTTTGCGTGAGAACGACAGTGTAGTCCCAGTGAGGTTATTGAATATAACAGAGAAATAATTAACTCTAAAGAGTAGATCTGTAATTGCAAGAGCATATACGAAGCGGAAATTGAGAATGCCAATAAGGAAAAGAAAACTATTCAAATAAGTATTTACCAAAAAGGAGTAAAGGAGGTATTAGATAAATTAAAGTTAGAAAATCCAGATAAGTACCTACTAGAGAAGGCAAAAACTTAAGCAGCTTGTTCTTGAGTTCATTGACGTGTTGAAAGCACCAGCAGACAAACTAAGTTGTACAACAGAGATTGTACATTGAATAATTATAACAGACGATGTGCAATCAGTCATTAAAAGACCTTATGGAGTACCGTACCATCGACAAGAGGTTATGAAGAAAAGATGCGAGAAACACAATACGAAACGGACCAGGAAAAATTCCAAGTCGGGGATTTAGTTTATGGAATCCAGTTTTACCAGGGAGGAATTTAGCACCAAAATTCCGTTGTAAATGGTCAGGACCAAGTCGAATTACAGAAAAGTTAGGACCAGTTACTTTAAAAATAAAGGAATTGCACGGGAGGAGAGAACATATTTTACATTCTGAAAGACTCAAACCATGTAAAGGGTTGGAAGATACGATTATAAATCCTACACCAGATCACGGAGATGGTGAATACGATGGAGTGGAGGACAATGAGGTTCTACCTAGGAGAGAGGACATTATAGAATTTTCATCGAATTTCGATCGAAATGAAATTAATGACCTCAATGATGAAATAAAGGGCGCAAGAAGAAGATGAATTTTTAGCACGGGGTCAAGAATTACCCGTAGGGCACAAAGAAATGGGAGACAGCGATAGCGAAATTGAAGTGAAGAAGAAAATATAAACCTAAAAAATAAGGAAAATCCGGAAGAAGGAGAAGAATAATAAGAGGTCGAGGAATGCGATCCAGAAGTTCCGAGGAGTACGAGGACACGGGACATAAAATGGCCCGCTAGATTTAAGGATTATGTACTAAAGAAGCTGTAGCATTTTTATCTTCCTCTAATTTAAATTCATAGAAAATGCTACAATTTTGGAACAAATAGTAAAACAATCAATTTTAGTTTTGAGAATGTTTATTAATTATAATTAAATAAATTATTAAATAAACAATCTGTTTGTCTTGGTAACTGTAAATTCTGGTTGGGAAATCTCCGGCATCAACTTCTGTTTTCTTTTGGGCTTCTACAAGAACCTAAAAAGAGAAAAAAAAATGAAAAATAGGATAAATCACTAATTAATTTTGTGATATGAAAACATACCTGTATCTATCCCAAAACCAATTGAGATTACGCTATTGTGAAGGTTCTCTTTGCTTCCCACATAACAAAATTGCATCCTTAGAATGTACTGAGAATGTTCTTCTTTTAGGAGGAATGTGCCTAGAATGTTCGCCAATGTAGAAATACTGTTTGCAATACCCAAGAACTTCCTGGGAAATCCATTAGGATATTCCTAGAATATACGTATGAGATTCTCAGTACCTACATCCTGAAAAGAATATTCCTGTTTGATTCTAAAAATATGCTTGAAATGTATATTCTCACATTCAAAGAATGTGTCTATGACATTATACTTATGTTCTCAAAAGAATATTATACCAATATGCTTGAACCATTCTTGGAATATGTTTGTTTCACCAGGGTTTGTACTTGCCACCAGCATTTGCCTTCCTTTTTTAACAAATAAAAATTGACTGAAACAAATCAATGACGTCAAAAACGTTCGTCGGTTCTTAAACCAGAAGTCATTCATTTTAATTTGTCAAAAAATGTGAATGTGTCATGAATTAATCTACGACAACCCTTTTTTTTTTTCAAGTTTCAAGGTCAAGTATGAACCCTGGTGAAACGAACCTTTTACATATATCATTCTCAATATGCATCCTAGACATAACATTCTTGTTTGATTCTATCCAAGTCCAAATTCAGATCCAAGTCTAAGTTCAGAGTCAAGCCCAAGGGGAAAATGTCTCCAAATTTTTTAATGAAGATCCAACCCGTGCAAGTACCAACTGCTCCGAGTTGTAGTTCTGGTCCACTTTGCGCCCAATTGATCTCTACGTCTTACCCGAATATATCCAGCTTCGAATTCGTCCAGAGCCCAATAAGCCAGATTTGGATACACAGACAATCTCAGTGGCGTAGATAGCTTTTCACCTTGGGTCCAGGCAAATTCGCCAGAGGCAAACATTTGACAAAACAGGTAAAAAAATGGCAGCAATTTGACCAATCGAGACTAATTTAGTAAAAATATATTATCTTTTTCAAAATGCCCATTATTCCCGAACTTTTAAATTTAAATAAAGTTCATATCCGTTGTTTTGAAACGGTAAGATTCATAAAAAAGTATAAGATTAAAGTTTTTATTTTGATCAATTAGGTACAATCAATGAACTAAACAAACACACTGGACCGGTGGCCGCATAATTGTTTCTAGGCTAGGGTTTGTGCCAGGAAGGATAACAAACAAGAGGGATTTGCATCTCTCTCTGCACTATGGCGGCTATTGAGAACAGCTGTTTGAAGTATTTGGATCATTGAGGTGAGGAAGATGAAGAAGCTCTTCTTTCTTTCACATTAATCGAAATGCGTGCGAGCGAGACAATAATCCCTCCGTATTGCTGGGTTGCATAAATCAAAATTTGCCTCACTAGCATAAGGCAGTGCACCCGTTCCAGAGTGTTTGTGTTTGTTTAGTTCTATAATGTGTACAATTTAATGTAGTAATATAATTTATATTATATTGAATTGATTCTTTAATTCCAGGGCTCTGAAACTAAAGAATAAATTCCAGTCTTCATGGCTTTTTGGCTAAGTGGTCCATAACATCTTCAGCTAAAGGTACTTTACTAATAGATAAAGATGCCAAATCATTCAACTTGCGCTAAAAAGAGAACAACGCAATAGAACATTTTTGAATTGAAATTTAATTAGTAACATTAATATTTACCTCTGACATCGTATTTCTAAAGTACGTTTTAATCTTTTTCTAACACCCAATGGAGGACACAGATAGGATAGAAATATATACCTTTTTTTTTGCACTAAATCTACCAATCGGAAACGCAAATAGTGTGGAGCACGGTACATCAATGTTCAGGAAACATCGATATCGAGATTTAAATAGATTTCGATATTGAAACAAGGAGATGAAAACAGACTTTTTCTACTGACATTTCATAATACGCTATTAAACGATTAAAATCTGTATCATAATGAACTTCATTATGATACAGATTATCATTATAATACTGA